ACAGCTCCCTGGCTGTTTTTGTGGAAATTGTGCAAAAATAGATGTTGATTTTGAAAGTATTTGTTTATTTTACTTTCCTAATCTGTTGCATTCATTTGCTGTGCATTTCAAGGGACATCTGGACATTTATGAATGAATTTGTGAAAGACAGAGACGGTGACTCTCAAGACGCTGGAAAAGTGGCCGATGAAAGTTTGCAGCCGCCGTGTACGTAGTGTGGATGTTGGCAGACTCATAGATTAACGAAGATACGTTTCACTGGGTCCATTGTAGTTGTTAATAAAGTTACCGCAGCCTGTGCACCGTTGCAGATGTTGAAGTCAGGCCACGCGTGCTCGTCGGTAGTTGGCCTCCGTGTACCTGGCCGTACAATGGGCCGCTTACAGTCATCTGTTTCTGCTCGACAACCTCTTTGGGGAGCACAGCTTTCACCACCCGATGGGTTAGGAAACTGGGCGCTTCTGCTCACTGACTGGACTCGTGTTTATTGGCCGCAGAAGGTCACTCAGCTGACTGACCCTTCACTGTCCTCCAGCACCTGCTCTGGAGGGCTCCTGGATGATCATGGGCGACCCCTGCGGCGGCAGGTCCCTGTGGGGCTTCCTGCCCCACCTCAGCTGAGCGTGGGCCCGAGGTAGCCGTGCGATGGGCGTCCCAGCCCCTGCCTGCAGGCGGCCTGGGCTCTTGGAGTCAGGGCTGACACAGTTTCCTTAGACAGCCAGAGGGCTGTCATGAGGTCAGGCCAGGTGCCAAGCAAGCCCAAGGCATCGATCCGACTTGGAAGGGTGAAGTTTGAGGGGAGCGAGGCCAGGCAGGTGCTTGTTTGAGCTCACAGGGTGGCCTCTTCCTGCCGCGAGACTTGCTCTGGGGAATGTGGCAGGTGAACTCTACATGCGCGCGCTGCGGGAAAATAAAGCCACTCACTCAGTTGTCAGGTTCTCCCACTCCAGTGCTTCCTGGTTGTGTCCCCTAGAATCCTCCTAAGCAGGCACCCCAGTTCCCATCTCCAGGGAGAGAAAGAAACCGGGGGGTGGGGTGGGAGGCAGCTCTCTTGACCACACTGTAGCAGAGCTGGGATTTGAACCCCGATTTAACTTGCTTCATTCCCAAGCTGCCGTTGGCGTCTCCAGCGGTGTCATTTAGATGCAGCTCGAGTGAAGACAGGCAAACACATCTGTGTGTTTTCAAAAGCAACATGAGAACAAAAAACCAGCCCGGCAACAGTGGAACGTGCCGGCCGTGCAGGGAGTGTGAATCTGGACAGACAGACTGGACAGACCGGCGGGGGCGCCGGGCGCAGAGGGGTGGGGTGGACACTCTGAAGAGGAAGCCGGGAGACAGGCCCAAGCGGGTTAGGGACAGGTGCCCGAGCTCCAAGTCACGACGCGCCCGAGGGAGAAACTCGGGTGGAGCCAGGGCCCGTCCTCCTCCCGCCCGGCCAAGCCCAGCTCCACTTACCAGTGTGGCTGCAGAACCCAGGCACCGGCCGACGCAGGGACACGCGCCGGAGCAACTCCCAGCTGGTTGCAGGAAGGCAAACAGGGATCTGGGCAAAACCGCTGGGTCTGGGTGGCCGGGAGACCCCAAAGTCAGCATCCAGGAGACCCCAAACTCAGCGGCCAGGAGACCCCAGAACTCTGGCAGCACAGGACACCCCAGAACTCTGGCAGCCCAGGACACCCAGAACTCAGCAGCCCAGGACAACCCAGAACTCAGCAGCCCAGGACAACCCAGAGCTCGGCAGCCCAGGTCACCCCAGAACTCGGCAGCCCAGGACAACCCAGAACTCGGCAGCCCAGGTCACCCCAGAACTCGGCAGCCCAGGGGACCCTAGAACTCAGGGGACCCAGGTGACCCAGGAGACCCCGTAGGCCCAGCTGATCAGCGAGAAACACAGTGCAGAGACACCCGACTGTGTACCCACTTGTTGCCCCCAGGCCCCCCAGGGACGCCTCCCTACTTGGACAGCTTTCCTGTTCTCCCTGATTTTCTATCAATAAATCTCTTGCTTTTCTGTGACTGTGGCCTGGACACTGAAGTCTCCCCTCCCCTAAGACTGGGGTCCTCAGGCTTCCGGCTTGCTCCCCTAAACCCCGACTTGATTCCACATCCCGCCCCGGCCCCTCGTAGGGCAGACGCTTGGCGGCTACTTCTGTGGAGCACTACGCAGCTGTCAAAAATAGAGCGGCCTGCACGGAGGGAGTGGAGTGCCGTGATGTCGGGAGGGCGGGGCCTGCTTGGCGCAGGCGTGTTCGATTCCGGGGTGCTCAGGCGCCCTCTGTCCGGGTCCCGGGGAGACTCAGACTCGCGGGGAGCCCCCACCCCTGCCGCGCCTGCGTACAGACCTGGGTTGATGCAGACGGCCGGTGAGGGGCTCGCTTGGGCCTTTCCTGCCGCGGCGCCCCCCGCCCTGGTCTGAATTCACAGGCTCACAGTTTGAATCCATCAATAAAAATGCACCCGGGACCCCGGGCC